TATGTATATATATATATATATGTATATATATATGTACATATATATTTATATATATATATATATATATATATATATATATATATATATATATATATATATATATATATATGTATATATATATTTATATATATATATATATACATATATATATATATATATATATATATTATATATATATATATATATATATATATATATATATATATATATATATATATATATAAACACTCAATAATTATTAATAATAACTCAATATACTCAATAATTATTAATAATAACTCAATATACTCAATAGTTGCATAATCTAAACAAACAGTTTCTGAAATATAATAAAGACATAAAATAGACCTACGCGATAATGAAAGCTGATATTTTATTTTATCATTATTTTTTGTTAATTCTAAAAGACAAAAAAATTCAGAACAAATATTCAGTTAATTTATTTTTCATAACATAAACACTTTTCATAACATAAACACAAGACAATACAGGCTTCAAATATAGCTACTTTAATGAAGAAGACAAAAATACCACATGTGTATTGCTGCTTATTATGTGGATGTATTTTAGTGTATACATATTGTATTTTAGTGTATGTATATCTAGTATATATATTGTATTTTAGTGTATACATATTGTATTCCAGTAAGAATACCAACAAAAAATAAAGACAAGGGTCGTCCTTAAAGGACCTACCCCTTGTCACCGTATGTCGTTTTCACCTACTCGGTGTAGTTAAAGCATTTTTAAAATATTATAGCGTCTGTATATTTTGTTGACTACGACAGATTTCCGTTAAATGGTCTGGTCTGTGAATTATAAAAAGACGAAAAAAATTAAAATAATAAATTTTGCGGTATCATACATAATACATAAAAACATAAATGTTTGTAGCGAAAAAATCCAGACCATTGAAACTTTTTTTTTTTTTTAAATCACCTTAAAATTACAATCGCTCGTCCAAATTCAAATAAGATTTTATATTAATACGATTTTTAGGTGAAATTAACATTATAGTTTATCAATATAATCTGTTCTGATCGTTTATTAGCAATTTTCCATAACTATAAGCTCTTTCTTGGTCGGAATTTTAGTATTTTTTGTGAAAATTGATAGAAATATAAAACAGAACCGATTAGAACTAGGATCAGTAGTAAAGTAAGGAACTTTTTTACAAGATTTTAACTAAATTCATGTCAATGTCGATGAGCGGAATTGATCTAAAGACTCCAAAATATTGTTCTTTAGATACATTATTACGGGTAGTAAAAAGATTTTGAAAATTATATATAAAAAAGAAAAGTTTATTTAAATATTATAAAAACTTTAAGCAAAAAAAATTATAACATTTAAAAATATTGTTTGGGCATAATATGCTGACAGAACCATGCTAATTCCAAATAAAAATATTCAAATATTTTGTATATCGCCTTATTTTTACCGAGTATATAAAAGGATGTCATAAAATTGGAATTATCTTATTTGACAAAAAAAGAAATCTTTTTTTTAATCTCATTCCATATTTTATGAAATTCTTTTTGACAATCAGTTTAGTCTGTCAGATCACCATTATTATATAAAAATGATTCTAAGATAATTTTAAAAAATACAACAGACAATATCGAAGTTTGACAACTGCCGCCACACTCTTAAAATATATATAAAAAAAGTATTATTAAACAGAAACTTCACAAAAAAAATTGTGTCCTATGTAAATAAAGTTAAAACAAAAAAATAAAAAAATCTATAAGTGACGTCCTTTTTCACAACTTTTTTTAAATTTTTTGTCCTTTTAATCCGGACCCCCTCCCTCACCTTTTTGAACGATGGCCTTTAGGGATGGCCCCATAGCTTCTTTTTTGGTTTGCTTTTTTTAATTAAAATTAAATAATTGTTTTTTAAATTGACATTTTATAAGTATTGATTTAACTCACCGCAGGACGTAATCTTTTTTCAACTTAGGACGACATGTTGTATCAAACTGATACAATATCTGATATTGTTTTAATAAGAAAAAATATATGTATACTTTTAATGATCTTTTTTTTCAATATTGTTTGTAAATAAATATATTCTTTCAAAAATTCCAATTTTTTTTTTTTCAATATTAATTTAGGTAAAAATTGAGTTATGTTTACAAAAAAAAAAGTTAAAAGTTGCACATTTTGTTTTACACTAAACATCATCAAAATTTCTGGTCAAGTAACATTATTCTTTTTTTTATTCAAAAGAAATTTTTTCTGTTACACTTAAAGTAATGTTTTTTCTTACAGATTTTGATTGTTAAATTAACAAGAGGTTTGCAGTGTTATTTTACTTTTTTCATGTCATTATTTAATTTAATTATGTTTCATTTTAGACATCTTACAATGCTTTTTTTTAACATTTTGCAGAAAAAATTGAGGGCCTACATCTCCCAAGCTGTGGGTTCAATTTTAGGGCAAAACCAACCCCCACCTATATTTATATATATATATATATATATATATATATATATATATATATATATATATATATATATATATATATATATATATATATATATATATATATATATATATATATATTTATATTATACATCTATATATACATACGATGAGGAGAGTCAGTTGTAGATAAAAAAACGCTGCATCTATAATTAGCATTTAAGTAATAGTATTCTACAAATTAAAACAAATATTTGTTAATCTACCAATCCTGAATTGATAATGTAAACTTGTTTGGATTTTTTTTTTCTTATTTGGATTTTTTTTTTTTAATTTATTTTATATATATATTTTGTTTTGTTATTATGTATAAAGAAATTGATTTCCAGTTAATACAATAATTACATTAATAAAATACAGATTATTGTTTATTCCTTAAAAACATGCCAAAGTGGTTAAAGGGCTTTGCGTGGTTTTGTGTTGATAGATTAGATGACTTAGTTTACTTTCACGCCGGGGTCTTTAATTTAAAATGAATATTGGGTAGGATTTTTATTAGATTATTGGGTTAGATTTTTTATTATGATCATTTTTCCGCAGTAAAAACATCTTAATTGTATGAACTTTAAAGTGTTTTTTTTTAAAGAAAAGCTTTTATAATTAATATCAAGCAGATGAAGCTAACTTAATTGAAAAACATGATTGAATTTTAACTTGAAATTAAGTTATTTGAAAAACTTTAGCCCATTTTTCAATGTCCAAATTTGCTTTTTAAACAAATCCTTATAAGAGAGTTAAAATATTATTATTATAGCCTATGTTTCCAAAAACACCTGAAGAATTGTTATGCAACTGTCTTGTATTCTATAGATACTTTTATTATGTAGAAAATATTAATGTAATAAGTGAAAATAATAAATAATTATAAGGTATAGTAAATTAAAAATTAAACAGAAGCCAGGTACTCAGTAATATGCAAACTGCGTACTTTTTAGCGAACCAAGACATTTTAATGAGCTCAACACTTTTTTAAACTACATATAATGGTATTCGATCTATTTTATTTAAATTAGACTGTTTTCTTTTGTATTTAATATAATTTAACAAGCTATAGATTTATGGTTTGCAAATAAGTTCGTATTTTACCAACTAACAGAACTTTAAATTAATTTTATTTTTGCCGGTAAAATAAATTAAAGTATAACGACAAAATCAGGAACAAGTTTAGGTCGGGTGAGGATTATCACAACCCGTATCACACGGATCATGACAGCTAGTATGTATATATATATATAAATATATATATATATATATATATATATATATATATATATATATATATATATATATATATATATATATATATATATATATATATATATATACACATATACATATATCAAACTGTAATATATCTAAATTATAATTAAATACACACACACACACGCATATATATATATATATATATATATATATATATATATGCATATATATATATATATATATATATATATATATATATATATATATATATATATATGTCAAACTCTAAAATATATAAACTATAATTAAATACATATATTAACTATGTTTGATGTATGTATGTATGTATGTATGTATGTATGTATGTATGTATGTATGTATGTATGTATGTATTTATGTATGTATGTATGTATGTATGTATGTAGGTATTATGTATGTATGTATGTATGTAGGTATTATGTATGTATGTATGTAGGTATTATGTATGTATGTATGTATGTAGGTATTATGTATGTATGTATGTATGTAGGTATTATGTATGTATGTATGTATGTATGTATGTAGGTAGGTACGCGGATATCGCGATTTACGGAACCGATTTTTATGCTAAAATATTGGTTCTCGATTTTTTAACTCTTTTTTAGGCAGCATAAGGCAGACGTAATTTAATGGAGTTTCATTTTAGAAACATATATGCACATAAATACTTTTTTTTTGAAAGAAGAAAAGTTAATCTTGATTTATATATGACATTTATGTATGGTTACTTAACATTTTTGTGGATTATTTTGCTCGTGAAAATATGGCTGATGTTCTCACATGAATATTTAGTAGTGGAAGTATTGATCCCCCTTTTTTTATTATTTAGATAATTTTCTACATGCGTTCTCTATGCACATGCCAACTTTCAACTAAAAATAAAGCTCCGCAGATAGTTTATTTAGTGTAGAACTTTTGGTACCTAATTTTGGTTTTTTTGTTGTTTTTTATGTTAAGCGAAATACGGGGGCGGATAGGGGGGCCGACTGTACAAAAAAAATTTATCCTTATATTGTATTATTTTGATTTTTATTATTAGAATAAAATAAAGCATGAGCTCTGAAGCTGAACTTTTCTTGCATCCCTAACAGGTAGTAAGTTTAATTTTTTTTATAAAAATATCAATAATAACTATTTTAAATCAAAAAATATACATAAATTATTTATGAATATTTTTTGATTTTTAACGTAGTATATAAAAACAGATTACTTCGTAATCTGTTTTTATATGTTACATAAAAAGGAAGATTAATGCTTCAGTTTAAAACTTTGGCTTTTAAATGGATTGTTGACTAATAGTATCTGTTGACAATTTTATAAATACAAACATATAAATAAGAATACAAATCAGTTACTTCATTGGTTTATTCCTTGCAAAAGAATTGTTAGTATTTTTTAAATATGATAAAACTTATAAACTTATTATCATCTTTTATTATTTTTGGATTGTATACGTTTTTATCTGTGGATTATTATTTAAATCACAATACTAGCATACCTAATGTTTACATGTTGTTTAGATCCTGCTGCACATTATGAAGCCTTTTTGAGATATCGTAAGTATAAATCACATATTTTATATATAACCACAACCAATATAACGTAATTAATATATAAACAAAGTGAATAACCATTCCTAATGTTAGCTTGTTATTTATTAAAATATTTTCTTTATATTTTCACTGTTAGTTTTCATTATGTTAATAAAGTTGTTGCATCTTCCACAGAACTATGATATGAACAAGCATTTTGTTGCAACTATACACTTCTTTTTGTTATTTTTAGTTCGATCTACCCAGCCTACCACTTGTAAGTTTGTATAGTAAAACTTGAATATCAAATATTAGCATGTATATCTTGGTTTAAATTATATTATTTTTGATCTTTACTTTATTAGTTGCTACGGTTAGTTATTTTAAAAGCTTGTACTTTTTAATCTGTAAAAAAATTTAATACCAATTTCAAAGTCGTCAAATGCATAATTTATTTTTTATTACTTGTTTTTACTTTTAGCAACATCTTCATCTTTAAAGAGTGGTAAGTTTAACAATTACTACATTTTAATGTTTGAATTTCTTGACAATTGCAAATTTATTTATTCTATAAACTTTTTTGTTCTTGTTCCATTCTCAACTGCATTGAGTGGTAAGCTTAAAAATATTTTTGTAGCATCCTTCAAAAAACCTGTTCATATATGTATGTATTTCGGATCAATTGCAATATTTTTTTTTTTTACAATTTTTTTTAACTTAGTTCCATCTACATCTGCTATAAATGATATGTTTACATATTTAAAAATGATATGTTACATATACAAACTTTTACTTTTCAATCTGTTTATGCATTTCTTGGCATTTCTTCACAATATTTATTTTTATTTCAACTTTATTAATCTTTAGTTACATCTTCAGCTGCTACAAATGGTAAGTTTATAAACTATTATTTTCTGATATGTGTATGCATAATATATATGTGTAATATATGTGTAAAAGTATTGTTTCAAATATGTGTATGCCTATCTTATCTATTGCAAATAAATTGTAATTTGATTTTAGAAAATTTTTACCTTTAGTCCCACGACCTCCACAACAAGATGTGCAATCTTCTGCTGGTAAATTTATGATTTAGAAATGTTTCTAAATGATTATTTAATTCATAATATTTTTATTTATATTTATTATTTAATACATTTACATTATGTTATCCTTCAAAGTACAGTAGAAGTAAAATCCAGAGCAGTATTTAACTTTTTATTTTAATCAACATTTTTTAAGCTATCATTGATTTATTATTTTAATTTTATTTATGCAGCCAATCAAATTATTGGTTTATATTAAATTTCATGTAATGCCATTCACTAATGTAGTTACAATTTATTGTCATTTAGACAACATATGGTGCCTATAGGAGATATAGGGACCAGCACCCTGGACCGATTAGCAATCGGTCATATTTGCGATGGGTCCGGTTAGGAGGGAATGATGGTGAATCATTCAGCTGGGCCTATCATCCTCCTAACAGGGGTGCTGGGAGGTACAGCAGAAGAGAAAGCCATGGTGGAGGTCGTGGGCGAAGACGAAATGGTGGCGGCCTCGTCGTGAATGGTGGCATAGACTATTACTAGGCGCCACCATTTCTGTTTTTTTTTTAAAATAAATATATGACATTATCAAGTTTTTTTTCCATTTGTTTACAATTTTTACAATTAATAAAATTTGAATTATTATTTTAAATTTTTACACATAATAATATAAAAACGAAGCATTGACAGGTGTAATATTAGGTGTAATAAAGTTTACAAGGGAAATAATTTTTATGTTTTTAATGTGATTAAAAGTTTTACTGTAAAAAGTATTGAAGTTTTAACTATAAATAGTTATAGACTTTCAAACGTGTTTAGAATTTTTTTAGGATTTCATAGCCCATATTGAATGCTTTAAATTTATGTGCAATTTTTTATTGAGTTGATTAATGTGAAATATCTTCTGCATACTTAATTACTAATCTTTTTTTTCTTTAGTTAATTTACTATTTGTTAGAGTTAAGTAATATCATTTGATTTTAAACTAGTTTAACTATTTGATTTCAAACCAGTTTAACTTATGTTCACAGTTTCTAAATATTATATTTACTTAACCATTACTTGTTTGTAGAAGGTATGTATGAGATTTTTTAAGTCTATATTGTTTAGTACTTTTTTTACATGTTGTATTATTATTTTATTAATTGTTAACAAATTAATCTATATTTGTTTACTTTTCAAAAATTTTGA